TCTCTCTCTCTCTCTCTCTCTCTCTTCTTACGACTTTTCCACTTCACGTCTGCTACTGGTTGCTTTACTCCCACCCCCTTTCTCATGCTTCCAACTGCATGGCGACTACTTGGCGAATGAGATCGTCCACGAGCAGACGGGCCCGCTGCTTCTTCTCCAACTCCACCTTCACTTCATCCATCAACCATGGGAAGAAGTCAAATTCCACTTCATGCACAACACGGTCTTGGAACCATCCCTCATCCTGCAATCGCGCAAACACTCTGTTTTCGAGATTCATTAAATACACCTTTGCGAATTGTCGTGCCTGCAACTTCTCCCGTGTCTCTTTCTCTCGTTGAATACGTTCAATTTCTTGCTTCTTACGTCTTTCCTTCTCTTCAAAGAGACGTTTCTCACGTGCCTCCAGTCGTTGTGCCTCCAATAACTCCTCTTTACGACGTTGCTCAAACTCCAACTGTTGTTGCCGCAATAATTCCAATTCCTCCTCCTGCAGTACCTCCAGCATAGCCTGCTCCATTGTCTTTCCAACCATCACATCCAGTATGGGATCCACCGCATCATCAAAATGAAATAAATCTTTTTCATGAATTTGCGTCTCAGCATCTCTACCAGATTTGGTTGGAACATATTTTGGAGTTGCTGGACGATCCAGCATGGGATCTGTTTGTGTTTCCTGCTGAACAACCTCCACCTCATCCTTAAGCTCCTCTAGGAACTCTTCAGTCTGCACATCAATGTGCTGTCGGCCAACTACAGGCGGTGGGGTGGCAAGTCGCCGCTGCGCTGCATCCAATTCTTTACGACGTTTAATAGATGCCGCTCGTTCTGCCATTTCCTTCTTCCGCCGCAGGAGTTCACGTTCTTTCCTCGCCTCTTCCTCCTTCATATGCGTAGAGACTGGCGTCGCCGCATATGTACTTCCCCTGTACACACGACGATCATGCATAATGTTCGCATACTGTTTGCGGCCCATGCTAGTCGTGGTGGTGGCGGAGGCGGACGGGACTGCGGGGTCGCGGTACTGCGGGTGCACAAAACCCTGCGGCGGGTGTTGAAATGTGTACGCCATGGCGCCTGTAGAAGTCGTTACATTTCGTTCCTGCATTTTTTTTTT